AACGCATTCTTAGATGGAGAATACAGAAGTGATAATGGGGGATAGCGACAAAAAATGCATTCGAGTGACAGTCGATTGTGACATAGAACTACCTCAATCATCTGAAAACATCGTATGGGGCAAGTTGAATTGCGATCCAAGGGGCCACCAGTTCTATTTGATGGAGCCAACCTCAACGACAAATGTACAAAACGCGTTCATTGGAAAATGCCTGGTAGAAGCAAACAAAAATGCTCTTATTCCTGTCAGAATAATGAATACCGCTAAACACACTATTAAAATTAAAAAAGGCGAGGAAATAGGTAATTGCCAATCAATAAATTTGGTGAAATCATTAGATATGGAGCAACAAGAAAAGGTTCTACCAACTGACAAAAGTAGACTCAAAGAACTTACCAAAAATCTACTGGATGAACTCAATTTGTATCAAGAAGACCGTCTAAAAGCCGAGGCGTTGATTGCTCATTTTACAGAATACGTGGATAATCTTCGACAGCGATTAAACCATAACCACCGTTACGTACGCCTTAAAATTATGAAAAACACGGAGGCGGCCAAAACCAGAAACGACTTGAAAGGAAGCAGTGGCTGTCGACGAGTTAGTTTGGCTGTACAACCCACAGCGAAAGAAAGGACGTTCTCCAAAGCTCCAGCGAGGGTGGAAAGGACCTTATCAAGTCATCACCCGCTTGAATGACGTCGTCTACCGTATTCAGGAATATCGGAAGCCGAGAGCAAGAATGAAGATCGTTCATTTGGATAGACTGGCTCCGTACCATGCGGACACCGGAACGAAAGCTGTTCGGGACGAACAGAACTAAGAAGAGGGTAATGTTATAACCGTGCTACCGATCGCACTAGATTCTAGCGTATTCTAGAATGTTCTAATGACTGGAGCATTCTAGAGTATGCTAGAATCGGACCATCTAGAAGAATCTAGAAACGACGCTTGCGAAGAGTATATAAGCGCACGTCGCAAGAAGATTAGCGATTAGTGAAATTCGTGATTTTGTGATTTCGTGAATAGCGATTCGGTGAATTATTTAAAGCGATATTTGTTTGTTGACGTTGTCACAGCGATAGATTTTAAACAAGTTAAAAGTTAATTGTTGCGTTAATTTGAATCTGCTAGAAATAAACGATTAGTTGATTTCTTCTGTAAATAAAGTTTAATAACGAATAACTGTTTGGAGTATTTTATTCAATCGAAGATTTGAACCCGTCGCATCGTAAATCGGTTACGACAGCGAGTATTATAACAATACGTTTAAATTTTTTCTTAAAAATGTTTTTACTGACACTCACTGCATGAAATAGTGTTAAAATAATTTCATTTTTAAATAAACTAATGAGTGATTTATGACTAAATTATCAATTTATATTATTTTAAATACAATAATATTTGAATGAAATTAATTCCAGTCCAAAATTTACAAATACAAATTTTGGACTAAAAATATTGAAACAAAAGTGATAAAATAACGTGCTAAATTGGACAAGGAAATTTTAATTTATTTCAAAATTAATAAGTTACACGAAAGGATTATAACTTTTCTCTCCACAATAAGTGGCCCAATTAAATCAAAATCTTTTTTTTTTGAAAATAATGAGTCCGTATATGCGTTAAATTATTTCTCGAAAATTTAACTAAAAAAGCTTTTTAAAGTTTTCGCGACGTCTTAATAACTTTTCATGCAGAACTGAACTATTTACAAATTATTTTTTATTCATTTTTCAAAAATATGCCATCTCTGTGACGTCAAGAATCCTAAAAATTACATGCCTCTACGCATCACGCAACAAACCCTATGTACGAGTGTCTTATACTGACTGCCCGAACTCAAATTGAATTCATTATTCATGATATTACAATTATATCATATAGAATTATAACTTGTCTGTCTTATAATTGATAGATACTTTTTTTCATTGTTTGATATAGGTGTTGAGAATATTAAATCGATTGATCACTTTTAAAATTTTCAGTTTTTGTTATTTTATTTCTGATTGAAATTTCAATTAGCCAAATTTAATAGCTGAGATGAGAGAAGGCAAAAAAAAGATCAAAAACTGAAAGTAAATTCAGTGATCAGTTGCTTGCAATCTTCCAGCTCTAGCATGTCAATCATTGAGATGAATTATTTTCTGAAATGATTGATGTAAAAATCTTGCCCGTGTTATAAAACGAAAGATTAATGAACGTTTTGACAGATGCAACATGGAAGTTTTCTTATTTTTTTTCCTTTTCATATCACTCCCGGCTGAATTCGTCTTATGAAAATTATCAGTTATTGAAAAAACATTTTTTAATAGCTTACATATTTTGTTTTTTTGTGTTATTAAAATAAATTCTTTTGTTAAACAATTCTAAAGAATTTGAATTTTCATTTTTTTCAAATTACGAAACTTTTTCTAGCTAATTAAAAATTTACTAGAGAAATAATTAAATAAAAATGACTAACAAAGCCATAAAAATGGAACATTTGTCAAATCGGCCCATGTTTAAATCAGAGTACATTTATGAAACTTAGAAGAAGTATTGGTGATAATTGGTTTTATCTATTTTTTATTCTACAAATGAATCTAACCAATCAAGCCATGAGCTATCAAAAAACCTCCCCTTGACAAAAACAAACTAATTGCATCTATTTCTCTTGATTTCTACAGAGCAGTATTGATTATTATACATTGTTCCATCCGCCTTATCTGTGGTCATTAATTTCAAATATTCATGCCAATCCGGCCGGATTCTCCATCTATTATGTCCTGCCAGTTCTGTTTATAAACGTGTTTCGATGCATTATATATATAATATGAATAAATTTTAAAATATTTATTTACAATATTTAATTTGGATAATATAAGTATGATTGTAGAAAAATTTGATAGATTGTATCTAAAAATTTGTCTTCAGTATTAGTTAAGTCAAAATGCTGTAAATTAATGGCTATAATATAGTTTATGCTTAAAAATGTTTATTGAATGTTTAAAAAATGATATTTTTAACACGGTTAAGCTCTTTTTAAGAAAAAATACAATTAATTCAGTTTGACCTTTAATTTCGAAACTTAAGACATCTTGAATTAGTTTTTAAAAGCTGATAAAACCAAAATATTCTAATATTTTCTTACTCCGAACCTGAGTTGTTTTGTCAATTGATGATCAAGCCGCGTGTAATTCATAGAAACTATATATTTTTCAAAAGACACGCGCACATACTAATAACTGAGATGGCAGTCTATAAATGAGAGAACTCACAAATTGTGGACGCCAACTGGTCGGTCGGTCGCTTATTTTTCCTAAGAAACTCTCTCGCTCGCTCGCCGCCAAGCACGTGCGTACACAGACGCGTGTACGCAAACATCTTGCGTGTACAAATGTCTGCACAAAAACATACATTCCATTCGGTGTGGCTTATAGGGCCTCATATTGATCGTTTCGTTGATATGTTGTGTGGCGGTGGTCACCATCTTTCACTCACTCACTCACTCACTCACTCACTCACTCACTCACTCACTCACTCACTCACTCACTCACTCACTCACTCACTCACTCACTCACTCACTCACTCACTCACTCACTCACTCACTCACTCACTCACTCACTCACTCACTCACTCACTCACTCACTCACTCACTCACTCACTCACTCACTCACTCACTCACTCACTCACTCACTCACTCACTCACTCACTCACTCACTCACTCACTCACTCACTCACTCACTCACTCACTCACTCACTCACTCACTCACTCACTCACTCACTCACTCACTCACTCACTCACTCACTCACTCACTCACTCACTCACTCACTCACTCACTCACTCACTCACTCACTCACTCACTCACTCACTCACTCACTCACTCACTCACTCACTCACTCACTCACTCACTCACTCACTCACTCACTCACTCACTCACTCACTCACTCACTCACTCACTCACTCACTCACTCACTCACTCACTCACCCT